TCCCTCCCCCGATTTAATCTTGCAGCTCTCTTTTTGAATTTTAAAGCCAAGCTAATTATTTTGACCTACGCAGTTATACCTTCAAAAATGATAGATGATATCAGATCAGAGAAAAGTTGACGTTAAACACATGTAAAACGTATCATTTTCAAAAGTCCGTTAATGCTAACTGCTCATCTTTCGTATCATTTGAATTAAGAATTCTAAAATACACTCCAACAACTTTGGCGGTGAGATTAATAAGTAAGGTACAGCTGCTTGGACGCAATGCGCATTTTTCTAAATGCGGCTGCAGCTTTTACCGACAATGGTTTTCAAACAATATTAGTTTTTTTACAATGGCAGTCCAATTTGGCTTTGGCTGGTTTAAATGGAGGCCTGTAAAGTTTGATCTAAAATAGAATTTGTTCCGAGGCTCGTAAACCGCGTATGTGCGCAAATAATATGCGAGACAAAAGCTGCAGCGCCATTTAATCACGTTACCGTGAAGGATGGCCAATAAACCCGGCACAGCACTCTGCACCCAGCAGGCAGCAAAGTATATTTATATGCAGGGAACATGTGAGATATAGTGTTACCACATGTATGGACGGGAATGTTTTTACGTCATTTGACCTATAAAGTCACATTGCGCAGTTGAATGAGAGGAATCTTTTATGCAAGGTGACAATTATCTAACACAGGTGAGGATGTTCGTGATCGCAAGGTGCATCAGTGGCCGGTTCCTTGCATATGATGGTCGTTTTGAGAGGTAGTTGGTTACTCACTGCAGGTGGTGGGTCGATTACGGGGATGCATGTTTGCTTATGCGGTCGCTTAAAGAAGGTTATCTTGATCTATACAGGGTGTCGTAGTTGACAATGTGCATAGTGCACTCGAATCCCACCTCTTATTTGGGCCCCAGGTTCGATTCATCGCGGGTTCATCGCATGTGAGCCGAGGGGTTGTTGGGTCTTTCTTGATTCTCCGGTTTTTTTCCAGCTTCTCCGGTTTTCCTCCCCGGCTTCGCAAAACCTATAGGCTAAATTCCAGTTCGATCTGCAGTGAGTTAGCCATACCTTCCCTTTGAGTTAGGGAATCGATGAAATTTGAAAGTTTCTTTTTGAAGTTGTGGTCGATTACACGAGGTGCATAGCTGCTTACAAGTGGTCGCTTTAGCAGGTGATTGTCTGTGGACGAGGTCGATTACGCCTCAACTTTTGATGACTCCGCCTCCTTAAAGCTATTAAGGGTCGGTATTGAGGGAGTAATGGGTTATAAGAACCTCACTATCCCCTTAAGTAGGACTGATTTAAACAAGCAAGTAGGGATTTTAAGTCGCAATTAAACTGGTACGAATTACTTTGATTATCCACACCACGCGATTCCGTTACTAATACACATGATAGATCTTCTGGGGAGCAAGACAGTGAGATTGCAGACGAGACATATTTCCCTTCCAGCAACTCTCTATGCTATTTACACAATTTTTTAAATTAATAAATTTTTTATTTTTTACATATGAACAGTCTTTACTCCTCAAGTGAGTAAAATTCTGTTGTTTTCCCTTCTAAATTTAAGAAGTACATCTAGAAATTTATGCAAAAGCGGATTTACGCAAGAAATAGATAGCAGTGCAATGCAAGTGCAGCTCATAGACAACTTGGCTCACCGAATATTCATTCCTCACTCGTTCGGTTTTTACGTGTAAAAATGCACACCACAAAATGGGTGTAGTGACAATAACCTCACTGCAAAAACAATACTTTAGTCACAAGGGGCGATAAAACCTGACACCGCACGATAGACACAATACAAAGTACGCAATTCAAGATGTCAGCGCTCAGGGGATCAGCAGGACAAGTCACGGCCCAGCATCGTTTGCTATTGTTTTATCAGTGCAGTTCAAAGTACTTTTGAGCGCCGTTTTTGCCAACTATGAAAACGCTTGTAATTCCCCGAGGAATGTCACGCAAAGTTAGTGAGAAGCAACGTTGTGTAACTTTAAAAATCAAACAAAATTTAAACGGAAAAAGTAACGAAATAACTAGAAACTGATTTGAAATAAAGTGATGTCATGGTAACAGATGTGGGCGAGTGCCAACCAGCCATCTCTTTTTTTAAAAAAGAAATAATATTTAATACTCAGGGGATTATTTCCGCTCAAACTGTAAAAGTTTATTTCCTTTTCTCTTCAAATTTAACTTTTTTTCAAGTTTGTTATCTTGTATAGATTTGTTCTTGTAAATGAGTTGTAAAAGAAAGGAAAGATAAATATCGCGATTTAATAATGATTTGGGCTCCCTGTGTAAATAGAGACGCTGAGCAGCAATCATTGCAGGCTCGTTATTCCAATATGGCGGACGAGTTGAAGGTTTGTAGAACAACAACAGACGATGATGGTTCAAGCTTACCTCCTTCAAGATTAGGAACCAAGGAATAGTAAGTTATCTGAACCATACTGTTATCAATATTTTAGTGTTTGTAATTCTAATTTTTCCCTTTTTTCTCTCTTTCCCTCTTCATTTGTCTTTTTCTCATTCTCTACTTTCTTGCAAATATGTAAAAACTTATTTGCCGTATACTTACAGCAGTGTATTTAGCTGAACGCTATCTAACCCTAACCGTAACTCCGTGTTGTGGTTGGATAAGGGAGTTATCATTATTTATCGGGGGGGGGGGGGGAGTTGGGAACACAATAACTGCATTTCTTGGTTTAAAGGTTATAGGCACTTGAAATATTATCAAAGATTACTTACAAATGAGAAGTCTGGAGCTCCAGTTTTCTTGATTCTGAATGGGTCTATATAGCCTTTTATCATTGCTGTTTCATCTTCAGGTCCATTCTTCTGTCCTGAACCACTTCCATTCCTACCATTACCTTGTTCCTCATCTATTTGATCAAAGTGGTCCATAAATGATGGTCTATATTCTTGTCTTGCATCAGAGTCTAGTCCTGAAAAATTAAATAATTATGATTATAAATAGTGGACCTTTTTACCTTGGGCGNAAAATATATATACCAGAAATCCTGATGGAAAAATATTTTATTAACATTTCATTTTCTTAAGTCAAAACATTGTGGCCCTCCCTACACCCATTATTTTAAAAAAGCAACCCTCCCCAAACACACATTCAAAAAAATATGGCCCTCCCCACTAATTTAGTGGCCCTAACGGGGGGTCAAATAATGATAACTCCCTAACATACTGGAAGACGAAGAGATTGTAAAGGCAGGCACAAATGGAGGGGTTGGGGGGGGGGGGTACCATAAGTTTGCCACTCTCACGAAAAACACTCATTTTGTAGTATAAAAAATCGTATTCATGATTGATAGAGTTCTTTTTTGTGATAGCTGGGATGAGGCATATCAAAAAGAACAAGAGAATTTTGAAGATATTGGAGATGTTGGAGAAATATGGTAATTATTACCATTGATATCCTTTTTAATCATTGTTTTGACTCAAAATGAAAATTAAAAGGGATATCAATGATAATAGATATTTGTATTGAATTCAAAGTTCTTACAGAAAGCTTGTAAATATACTGTAAAACCTTTGATTTTATTAAACCTAAGACATACTCTCGCCTGATCTAAGTCAGTCAAAGCCACTTCGTGGTATATTGGATTTTGTAGTTAGAGGAAAACTGGTCATTGAACCCAATCTCATTCCCAGAGCCTGCATTTTTTCTGGCCTGCGGCAAAGAGCAAGGGCTCTGGCATCATTCATTTTTTGGTGCATGCTTAATTTTCCAGAAGTGAAATATAATCAATGAAAATCATTCTTTCAAACAGAGTTCAGTTTTTACTACCAATCAAACTAAAAATTAGGAATTAGGAAATTTTTTTTATTTTTGGTAAGTCTTTGAATGCGTTCCCTCTTATACCAGAAGTCCAAGGAATCCTAGTCTCCAAAAATCTATTATGCCAGAGCCCTCATTCTTCACCGCAGGCCAGAAGAAACACAGGCTCTGTGTATGAGATTGCATTGAACATTGAAAAAAACCCTTGACTCTAGGGAGAGACCTAACAAACTCTACTTATTACACTGTGATGTTGAGTCAGGCAGGAATCAAACCTGATACCCCAAAGTCAAAAGGCAATGTACTACCACTGCTATAACTAAATCACCTTGATTCCCTAAAATGAAGTTTTTCACAGGAAGCCCAATGCTGCAATGTTTTACTAAAGAGAAAATAGAACCATGGTTGACATTAGCTTTTCAATTTTAGGTTTGGAGAGGGTAGTATGAACAGAATGATCAAATGGATCAAGAAATCATCACGAATCACTAAAGATTCATCTATGTTAGATATAGGATGTGGCAACGGAATGCTTGCCATCAGGCTGGTAAGTAGAAAACACACAGCATTATTTCTACTGTGAACAAGCCATTAAACTAAATATTTTATGATCAAATTTTTTTTCTTATCAAACGGGAAGGAGCAATTGCTAAGTTATTCAATATTTATTATTTGATCACTGTCATACTTTACTCCCAATACCCCCTCCCCTGGGGATATTAGACTAGCTACTTATTGTCATTTGGCCAAATTATCAAGCAAACACCAAACACTCACAAAATAAAATGGAAACACAAGGACTACTCAGGGTATAAGGGGTGGGGATTTTGTCACTGTGAAAAAGACCATTTGCCATCTGGCATTGAAGTTTAAATAATTGAAAACCACCTCCTGATAAGATGCACAGATGATTCAAACTCAGAATGTATATCAGAGTCAGGCACAATATTTTTGTTGCTTCCAATGAATATTTAGTTTTTCATGTTTTTGCCAGGCAGAAGAGGGATATACTAATGTAACAGGAACAGACTATTCGTCGGGTGCCGTACAGCTGTCACAATCCATAGCAAAACAAGAAGGTGTTGATATCAAATTTATGGTTAGTGCAACCACTGTTTTTATGAACACACTAGTGATTTATTGCTAATCATGTATTCTGACTGATTGGCAACACTAATAATGATCTATTTCTCATAATTCATGTTAGAAAAAAAACTAGATTTTTGAAATTACTAAAATCTAGTAAAAACAATCCATCAAATCCATTTTTTGTTCACTTATTCACTAATACCAATCTCAGAATGTTATGCCATCCAATAATACAAATTTAATGATGATAGCTAGAAAATCTATATATAAGAATTAAGATTAGTATGCATACAGCAATAATGCACTCACAGCACTTCACATGCAATATGCAATGGCTAATATAACCTTTTTTATTCTTCTTAGGAATGTGATATTTTAAACTTGTCTAATTCTTCTCTTTCTGGACACACATTTGATGTATGTCTTGACAAGGGTACTTATGATGCTATAAGTCTAAATCCACAAGATAGTACAAGATGTCGAGCTCTGTACATCAAGGCTGTTGCTTGTCTATTACCAGAGAATGGTTTCTTTATTATTACCTCTTGTAACTGGACAAAAAGTGAGCTGGTTGAGCAATTTAAAGAAGGTGAATAGTAGGCACAATGGAGGTAGTGGTTGCTGTAGATTATGGGATGTATGGGTTCAGAAATTACAAACGGCGTGGCTGTTGTGATAGATAGTCAGGTGGAAAATTGCCAAAAGAATAACGATTTGACAGCACATGAAATAAGCAAGAATCTAAAAGGAAGAAGGAAAAAAGAAAAAGAAATAAAAAAAAGGAAGTTAGAAGGAAAAAAGGAAGGAAGGAAGGTAGGTAGGTAGGTAGGTAGGTAGGTAGGTAGGTAGGTAGGTAGGTAGGTAGGTAGGTAGGTAGAAGTGAAAAAGGAAGGAAGGAAGGAAGGAAGGAAGGTAGGTAGGTAGGTAGGTAGAAGTGAAAAAGGAAGGAAGGAAGGAAGGAAGGAAGTAAAGGAAGGGAGAAAGGAAGGAAGAAAATGAGGAAGGATTAGGAAAACCTCTCATATCACTGATCTCACTATTTCTATATCTTTGCCTTTCATTTAGATTTTACTCTGCTAGATGAGATCCCTTCGCCTTCATTCTCTTTTGGCGGACAAGCAGGAAACACCGTGACGTCACTGATCTTTGTAAAAAGGTTCAAGTCAACGTGACACATTCACGGAAGAAGCCAAAGGAAAGTCACAAGGAATACACCATTGGTCGGGTCATAAGTGACAGTCTTTTGGCTTCAAGTTGCCATTTCTCTTTTATTCTATATCATGGAATGAAACATCTTTTTCGAGGCTTTCTTTCCATTTCTAGGATTCATTTCGGTACAACTGCTTGAGTGGCCCAAGAGGGGTAGGGTCATGTAACCTCGGTGTAAATGGCCCAAATTTTTGTCCCAAAGTTCGTGGATGAGCCACAGTGTATCACTGAAGACGTGCATGATGTTGAAGCCGCGATTCAATCATTTGTCTCTCAAGAGAACTGCAATGTCATGGAAGATATCTTGTAATCCTTCTGTAGACAAAATCTAAAACTGCGAAATTTCAAGAAAAATAAAAGGAATCTTGTTTAATTCCTTGTTTTGTACATATTCAGAAACATTTTATTTGCTATAAGAAAAATTCTAACCATTTTTATTTTTATTTTTTTCAACTGATGCTTTTTTTTTTTTTTTTTTTTTTTTTTTTTTTTTTTTTTTTTTTTTTTTTTTTTGATGCGCTTAGTAGTGCACGTGTATCATAATAATAATAATGATAATAATAATAAAAATGATAATAATAACATAAATGGTTTAATCTATAGAATCCACGAGGTGGCTCTTCACCTATTGATAAACTATCTAATATATAATAACACACACACGAGATAAACTTACAATAATAAACTATGAAACTATAAAATAGACAAAGATAAGAAATAAGATTGAAAATTATTGGAAATTTCTTATTGATTAATTCTAAAGCGATGCTATAATTATATATGAAAGAAAAGGATAAAATTGCAGATATTGGGGGTACGCTCCACCACCCCCAAGCAACCGCCTCAGGCCGAGACATCCTGGGCAGACAAAGAAACTGACCCAAAACAATCACCCAAAGGCACCGAAGCGCTAGACAATATGCAGCGCAACGTAAGATGGCAACGCGGGTCGTAACCTTTTTCATACTTCTGGCTTTGCAAAGAAACTATAGTTACTAGTTGAGTTAACCACTTGGCAAACCTGTCACGAATTCTAGCTTTTTTTTAAAAAAAAGAAATATTCAGAATGACTTAACCCGTGAATTACTCTTTCGCGTGATAGACACAAAAGAAATCTAAGGAAGTAAAATCTAGTAACCATTTCACAGGTTATTTAAAACCACTCTAACCAGTTCTGGAGAAGCGCTACTATTCCTGTTTTCAATGATCCTTCAAGAATATAGCACGCGCTCTTTCTTAAATAGATTAGAATTTGGCGCGCGCTATAATTCGACAATTCCTTGCGCGCGGATTTCGTCTCGATTATAATCCATGACATCATAAACAGCTGCTTGACAAACACATGGGGGAGGGAAACGCAAGAGTGAATGTCAATATAGAGTAACAAAATGGATCTTCTTTTACCAAGATTGAGTAAAAGCTCGGGTTCGTCAGTACGGATCAATGTTTGGCGGCAACGAAGGGTGAGTAAATAATTTCATTAAACGAAGTTTTCTGAACACGGATATCTTACGAACTGATCGAAGGTGAAGTGACTAGTAATTTGGACAACAAAATCGCGCAACTGTTCTCGTAAAACTGCTATCCAACCCTGAAACAACATCTCTGGGCTTATTAAAGCGAGGGCGAGGCTAACTTGCAGATCGAATTGGAATTTAGCATGTTAGGTTTTGCGGAGGGAGGAAAAGGCCGGGGAACCTGAAGGAAAAACCGCGAACACGAAAGATCTAGGATACTCTACTCACATTTGATGGGTCCACTGACGAACCGAATCCAAAATCCCAGAAGTGAAGGGCGAGTGCACTTCCGCTCATTGCAGCATCTTTTAAAGACACCTCTTATAGATACTGATTCATTCTTCTTTGTTTAGGCATCTGTGGCACCGATTGGTAGAGTATTCCCAAAGTCCCCTGACCTCACGAAGAGACCTGACGAAACCTTGGACTTGACGGCTATTGGTCTGTCCAACAAAAATAGCCTGCTTTTCCCCGTGGTGGGGAATTCTCGAATATCTTCAAGCCCGATGGATTACGAGAAGATAGCCGATGATGATAACAGTACTGAAGCGTATTGCACAGCACCTAATGTATGTATACTGAAATTAATCTTATTAGGAGAATGTAGCGATACCTTAAAAAACCTATTAGCTGGTCGAAGTCAGGGCACGGCTAACCGGCCCACAGATCAAATCCTGAAACAACCTTTGGACTGATCGAAGTCAGGGCACGGCTAAACGACCCACAGATCAAATCCTGAAACAACCTTTGGGCTGATCGAAGTCAGGGCACGGCTGACTCAGATCAAGCTCTGAAACGAACTCTGGCCTGATTTAAGTCAGGGCATGGCTAACTCACGGATTAAACCCTAAAACAACCCCTGGGCTGATCAAAGTCACGGCACGGCTAACTCCCAGATCGAGTCCTGAAACAATCTCTGAACTGATCAAAGGCAGAGCACAGCTAAATCACAGATGGAACCGGGTTCACTACTGTCACGCCAATCTTGATTCCCCAGTTGTTAGAATTTAGATTAGGTAGTTTTTCTAAAATAGCTGCCAAAAATATATATTAATTTTTTTTTTTACGAACCAACAGCTTCCTGAACTCCCAGGGCTTCCCGGCGAGCGACGCGGCCTCAAAACACCCACCGAACCACCGGTCTTCTGTCTGAAGGGAGAAGGACAACGACTACCAACATATGTAATTGGTACAAGTAAAATAGAGAATTCCCCTGGTGGGATGGTTCTGAAGGTGAGTAGGAAAGAATTATCGATCTTAATGTTTGGGCTGAATGGTTTCTTAGACATTCATTCTTAATTGGTTCAGGCCTTACGTGCATTGAAAAGCTTAAAGGAACAAACTATTCTACGTTCCTCCTTGTTCCTCCTCGCTTCCTGGCTACTCTTCCACTCTCTATTCTTCCACTCTCTATTCTTCCCTGTCTTATTCACTCCTTCGGTACGCTTCTTTACTTCTTTCTCTCCCTCTTCTTTCTCTCTGCCTTCCTTCCTTCCTTCCATCCATCCATCCATTCATCCCTCCCTCCCTCCCTCCATCCATCCATCCATCCATCCATCCATCTTATATTATCCCATTCGATCCATCTTATCCCATTATTACAGAGTATCTGTACTCAGGTGCATTGATTCATTCATTCATTTATTTTCTACATCATTGTAGAGTATCTGTACTCAACTGCACTCGTGGTTTGAAACCTTAAGTAGGCAAAACGTGGACGAGACGAGCATCGAAGAAGAACTAAAAAGGCTTTTATACATCAAGAAAATGAGAGTCTACTTAGAGGTAATGAAACATGAAAGATCAAATCAAATCATTATCACTAGTTAAAAAGTGGTAGAACTTTAGCCATACTCGGGTCCCTCCTTCAATGTGGCCTCTGAATTTAACGATAATAATAATATATGATCAATTATTAGATAATATATTTTTAAAAAAACCTTCAATTTTTCATCGATACGAAGATATGAGCCTATGGGGGAATAATTCAGTACCGCTCGAAAACTGGATTTTCATTGCTCTCTAAGTACAGTACCGCTTTTGTAAGGTTAGGTTTAGAGCTATTGTTTGGATGACCAATCTATTGTTTTTTAATCCAATCATGTAACTCGTTCCAAGCGACACGGGCTGGCTCCTATGGGGTGATCTAAGTCAGGGCACGGCTAACTCACAGATCGAATTAGAATGTAGCTGGTTAGGTTTTGCGGAGGGAGGAAAACCGGAGAACCCGGAGGAAAAACCGGCCACGAATCAAGGGAGACACCTAACAAACTCTATTAACATTTGATGCCGTGTCCAGGAATCGAACTTAAGACCCCAGAGGTGTGAGGAGGATGTTTTAATTTGTTTTACCGCAATTGATGGGTTGCAAGCATCCCGAGAGAGTTAAAAGACAAAAACATGGCGGCCACTGTGGTACCGTTAACAATAGATGCTAATGAGAAATCTTTTTTTAAATGGCACCAACATGGCCGCGATGACGTAACTTGCAAACGAAGAATACCCCTTTGATTCTAACAGAGTAACATAACTAGCCTCACAGCTATCTAACTTATGGCCCTCATCGAACACAACTCGATTTTATTTGTCTTTTCAGGTGCGTAAGAAGATCTTTACTCCTGAAGTCCACTGTGTTCCAATATTCCATTGTCCATGCTGCTTAGAACATTGGATTGTCACTGGCTGGGCACCGGAGGACTGTCAAAACAGCATCCAGCCAACACGAGGACCGGAAGTCGTCATGTATGGTACCAAGATGCGCTTTATTTCCATGCACCCCAAGGGAAAGACAAACATTTTAGACAGAAGACAAGAATGTTCAAAGAGAAAGATCGGGTGAGCTAAAAGCTATTATGTACAGTATAAAACCCCTATTAAGCGCTGGCCATGTAGTTGCTAGTTTCTCAAAGAGGGGTTTCTGCAGTACTAAACTTATAACTCTTCTAAAAGCAAACAACCTTGATTTAGCTGTCATATGGTAATTCCTCGAGATGACTTCTTAATAAAGCTTGAATTTTTATCTAGCTGAAAAGCACAACATACAATCGGGGGGAAAATTGTCTAAGGTTTTTGGTACTTGTGCTTGAATTACTACTTAATTGCTGTTCTTAATATTTGTTTTTAAACCGTGCATTTATTTTCGCGCTCGAAAGAAGGCCTGTAAGTGACCTAAAATACCTTACAATTAGGCCGAGTGCCCAAGGTGTTTGATGCGCCTCCCTGCGTAACTTAAATATTCGCTTATTTACACGCTGTTTATATTGAGGATGTTGAACGTATTTCTCTTTCTCATTAAAGAATTCCAGTTGGTATATCAAGGCCGCCATATCCAAGCATTCCCGCAAAAGAGCGGGAGTGTACACTAAGCGAACCACGCTCCTCGCCATCCAACCCCGCGTCTGATCTAATCACAATTTGCGACTCTCCTGCCGTCAAACATACACTCCCAGAATTGGATCACAAGAATGACAAACGCGAAGAAGAGAAGAGCTCGGTTGGTGGTGGCGCAGACGAACCCGACAGTATTCCTCAGAGTAGAACTTCTATGAGTCTTATTCAATCGATTTCGATGAACGACGATCATTACAACGAGTACGCGAGGTCGAGTTCCAGAATTGGGAGGAGAAGAAATACCTATGGTGGACATCTTTACTCCGAAGACCCCAAAACTCTGTGGAAAACATATAAGCTAACGTCTTCAGTCCCGTTAACTTTAGTAGGCGACGAAGATAGGTTAAAGATGTCCCATCAAAATATTGCGATCACTCCAGTGTCAAGCAATGACTCTATTATTAGAATTGAAGGGAAAGATTTTGAGGTGGGGGAAAAGTTGGAAACTACTACGTACAATAGGTACCATACGAGTCAGTCCGAAAACAATATAGATGTGTCGCAAGAAGACAAGGCAGATAGTCTTCAACCGGTGATTGAGGGTCTACACGATATAAGCTCTGAGGCTCCTCAACCAGAAGACCAAGAACTCGAGTGCGAAAGAAACCACACTGAGAAGGTCTTTAAGAAAACAGAAGTCTTGAGGGAGAAGCAAATGATTGACTTGTCTTTGCTTGACAAAAACAACAAAACACCATCCAATGGAGAGAAAGAGGACAAGGAAACGGTCTCTCTCTTGAGAAATTCTGCATTAAAGAAGATTGATCCTATCGATACGAAGCATGCAAAACAGGAGAAGATCACTGTGACTTGGTCTGACATGAAGGTCGACCTGCCAAAGCTGTCAGGTGATTCAAATAAAAAAATAGACCAAGACGGGAAGAAAACTACTTTAATGGAAGGTACGTTTGACTTTTAAAAAGATATTATCACATCAAGTAAAGTTTGCTATGTTTTCCAGTTTTCTTTCTTCTACAAAGCCTAACAAGCTAAATTCCAATTCAATCTTTTGTTACAGCTCCTAGTTTATTGCCAGCTAATGCTGCTTCAGAGGGAAATGCAAGTAATGAAGAGAACGACAAGCGGTCCTTACCGCCAACAACGGACCACTTCAAGGAAGCTAGCAAATCAAGGCACATGGAAGAACAAATTCCAAAACCAGGTAAATAAAAAGCTCTATATCAGAGGGGGAACCACGGTTCGTTTTCGAAGGGGGAGCACCACTTATGATCAGGATGTTCACAAACGATCAAGCACCAATAAGGCAGAAAGTATCTGCAGTTCATCTGGGGGGGG